CATGTACTTCTCTTTCTCAGAAAACTACACTACTGCTCATGATGCAAATGACTAGTGTCTTTTCCCAAGAACCTGCAGGCTCATGCCATGTTCATACAGATCTACAAAGTGTGAAAGTGACAACTTGCTTTTACTCACATTCAGGTTTTATTAAGTGTAACAGAGGACTTTGGCTCATGTGTGCTGTCCATTTATATATTTTTTTTCCTCATGCACTTCATTATGTAGTCATGGTGGATCTACTGTCCTTTCCATTGTATAGTGTCTATAAAAAGTATTCACCCCCTTGACACACCATCATCACTCTGAAGCACGGCGGTGGCAGCATCATGATGTGGGAATGCTTCTCGGCAGCAGTCCCTGGAAGGCTTGCAAAGGTAGAGGGTAAAATCAATCCAACACAGGATAGGGAAATCGTATAGGGAGATCTGACACTTGGGAGGTTTGTTTTACAGGAAGACAGTTACCCAAAGTGGTGGTAAATACTTTTTATAGACACTTTAAAGTTAAAAGCAACCACGTTTCATAGTGGTTAAATCTGATCACTGTGCAAACTACTTCATGGATTAGATTTTCCCCCCTTTTTTGTGGTTACAAATGACAGATACAACATTTTAAAAAATGTTTGAACTCTCTTTTATCTACAATTATTCCTGCCAATAATAATATGAACAATACAAATAAGAAAACAGTAGCTGCTGCCTCCTTTTGGCGCCCCAGGGTTAGGCTTGTTACTTTTATTTTACAGCAGTTGGCATCAAAAAAGATTTTTTTTTCCTAATCTTTAAGTGAGTGCAGTCTATGATATTATGCCAGCACACTTCAATAGTGGTGACAAGAACAGCACGCAAACATCTTTGTGAAAGTGATTCAGTGATTAATCACCATCTAGCATGAGTCATGCATCAGTGAAAGCCCAATTTTATGCATTATCCATGATGACGAACATATAGAAAAATTTAAATGAATGAATATTTCTGAAATCATTTCTTCATGGTTGCTGATTTCTTGGGAGCCTCCTCTGGTCGCCCCTGCAGTTCGCATCCTGATTCTGAGCACGAAAAAAAGTTTTTTAAGCCTTTATTCAGAAATCTTTCACAGTGAAGCGCTACATAAATACACTGCAACCCTGCTGAAACGAGTATACGTCTTGAAGTAGTTTATATTAAAGTTTTAACGTGAAGGGGAAACAAACCAGCATAAGGCGAGTCATGGTCTTCATCTGATTTCTCTCGTGCTCATTTTTCAGATTGGATGTTTAATATAGGCGTCCTTTATCGCAACATCTCAGCTCTCCCTGCTGCGCGTTCTGAGCCCGTCCATTCGTCATGCTTCCCCTCCTTCCTCCAGCGCTCCAAACAATCAATGTTTGGACGGGCAGGCTTCCCCCAGTGTCATTATGTAGAGGCAGGGAACTTGTAATCTCCCGCTAACTGCTTGCAAGGAGATGAGGGAACAACAAAGATCCATTAATTAGCTGGTCTAAATGGTACTCCTAGCTGGAAGGAAGTCTTGACGAGAGAGAGGGAGGGAGAGAGAGGGGGAAGGAAAAACAAACAAAAAAACAAAGTGGATGTCTGGGTCCCTCCGGCGTACGGTAAAAGAGGGTGAAAAGGACACGGGAGAGAAGAAAATCTTCATCGCAGCGGCCCGTCTCCTGCGTTTCAGTTTGCCTCCAGAGGATTGTTAAATTCCAAATAAATGATAATATTCTCCGAAGTTAGATTGAGAATTTCCAATGTAAATACAGACTTCATCACCAATACTCCCACTGTGAGCACAATTTACTCGAGGATAAGCCGCAGAGTCGTGTAGCGCTGCCAGAGAAGCTGATAAAAGCTGGATGTTAAAATACAGCGATGAGAACTGGAGTGTGACCTTTGCCCTTTATCGTCTACTTTGGGAGCTTGTCCAACACAATAATCAATCTATTTTTTTAAATTGTAATTACTTTTAAAGTTTTATTGTTTATAACCCGTCTCAGTAGCTTCAAACACCCAAATAAAAGCTGCAGTAGTCAGTATTTGATATTTTTATGGATCAAATGATGATCTGTGACGCGAAAAGAGCCGCCCACAGTGACAAACCAAACAGAAAATAATCACCCGAGTGTGCAGATCCCCTCAGCCCAGTGGAGCTTCTCAGCATCTTTCTGCTCGTTGTTTTTGTTTTATTTTTGGTTTGCTCTCTTTGTGCTCATCCGCTGTGTTTCCAGCAGCAGCAGCAGCAACAGCAGGCGTCTGTTCACAGCAAAAAAAAAAAAGCCTCTGATAAACCGACAGAGTTGCAAAAAAAAAACAAAAAAAAAGCTGGTGATTTCAGTGGAGCAATTAGCTTCTAAAGTGTCAGATATTTCCATCAGGAGTGAGCAAGAGGCTAGACAGGAGTTAAAAGGGCAGCGACTACTTGATTTACACTAATCGGATAGTCAAAAAACACTAAATGACAACATGCTGATGTTGCTCCAGGTCTGCTGGATGGTTTATTCAGTGACAATAGCTTCCACTGCAGCAACATGCTGGCTGGTTCAGGGCGGCACGAACCTTTGTGCGTGTTCTGACTGCAAGAATCGTCCCGGTAGAACCTCTTACAGGGCAGTTTTTGGGATACAAAAAAGTACTTACTCCAAAGTAAGTGACCCAGGGAAAGCTGCTGAGTAGAGCTCGATACTGATCAGTTAAACTCATTAACTTTTAAGAGGAAGTCTTTTTCGCACAGACGCTGGCATCTTAAATGTACCATACAGACTAACATAACAAACCTCTATTGTTCTATTTCTTCATAGAGTCGTGTCTAATGTTTGTATTTCACCTCACTCAGTATTTCTGCCTTGAATCGTCTGCAAGCAATTCAGAATGCTGCTGCACGTCTATTAACTCGATCTTGTAGACGCTGTCATGTCACCCCATTGCTGAAATCACTCCACTGGCTCCCTGTTACATTTAGGATCAGATTCAAAATCTTAACTATCACCTACAGNGCAGCAACATGCCGGCTGGTTCAGGACGGCACGAACCTTTGTGCGTGTTCTGACTGCAAGAATCGTCCCGGTAGAACCTCTTACAGGGCAGTTTTCAGGATACAAAAAAGTAGTTACTCCAAAGTAAGTGACCCTGGGAAAGCTGCTGAGCAGAGCTCGATACTGATCGGTTAAACTCATTAGCTTTTAAGAGGAAGTCTTTTCCGCACAGATGTTGGCATCTTAAATTTACCGTACAGACTAACATAGCAAACCTCTATTGTTCTATTTCCCCATAGCAGTGATAACCACAACTAGCCCCTCAGTTCTCCCCTACAGTCGTGTCTAATGTTTGTATTGAGTTTCTATTGATGCTCCCTGTCACCTGCGGTGTCCCTCAAGGGTCTGTCCTTGGTCCATTACTATTCATTGTGTACATACTCCCCCTTGGTCACATCATCAGCCAGTATGGAATTTAATTCCATTGCTACGCCGATGACACCCAGTTGTACCTCAGGACTGACTCAACTTTTTCAACTGGTCCGGCATCATCATCATCATCATCATCATCATCATCATCCCCATCACCACTCACTATCTTCCTGGAGGAGATAAAGGCGTGGATGAGTCATAATTTCCTTCAACTGAACTGCTCTAAAATCAACACCATACTTATTGGCACCCCTCAGCAGGTCCAGTCATCCTCCAAAACAAACATCACCTTTCCGGACAAAACAATCCCCTTTCATCTGCTGTCACCAACCTCGATGTGAGACTGGACCCTCACCTAACTTTTGAAAACCATATCCAACATCTGCGTAAATGCTGTTTTTTTCACCTGAAGAACATTGCCAGACTCTGACCCTCCCTCACAATATCTGATGCAGATAAGCTCATCCACGCCTTTGTCTCTTTGAGGCTGGACTACTGCAAAGCCCTCCTCATTGGGATCCACAGCAAAAGTCTCCAAAAGCGCCAACTGATCCAGAACAGCGCTGCTGGGATCCTACTCAGAACCAAAAAACATGAACATATCACCTCAATACTCCACTGGCTTCCCATCACTGCCAGAATAAATTATAAAGTTGCTCTCATCACCCACCAATGCATTTATGGAAACGCCCCACCATACCTCAAAGACCTCCTCACTCAGCAAACCCCAACCTGGAATACACGCTCTGCACATCAAGACCTCCTCCACCCGCCCCAAACCAAGCTCCGTACCAAGGAGATCGGGCTGCTGTACCATGTCTGTGGAACTCCCTACCCAACTACCTCAGGACCCCACAGCCAGTGGCTGCTTTAAAAAAAACACTTGAAGACCTTCCTTTTTAAAATTTTAAGTGTGTGTACTGTTTCTTTTTTATTGAATGCTTGTAGCACTTTGAGATTTCTTTTAAATGAAAAATGCTTTATAAATAGAATGTATTAGATGGTATTGTGGTTTAAGAATGAAAGAAAACTCCTGCAGCAAAAGCTGCCGAATATGTCAGTGATGTCAACAGCTTGTTCTGCTGCCCCCGAGTGACCAAATAAATAAATATCTTGCCCCATCAAAACTTGTTACCTGGCAGAGGTACAAAGCTCCTGCAGGACTGTCTGCAGTAAATATTCAACATCAAATAGAAGAACAATCACTCAGATTTCAAAAGCTACAGCTGAAGCATTGAACTAATGAAACAAACGCCTCTGCTTGTTGCTGGTTTTAGCAGCATGTGACTTCCCAAAATTTCCAGCTATGTGAGAAAGGAATTTCCTCTGTGAGTGGATCCAGTAATAACAGGCCAGCCACTTTTCACTTGTCGCAATGTTCCTGATAACTCCAGAAGATAAACACATTCTTCCACAGAAACCCAGACACGCACCACGACTGAACCTTCCACGGCTGTCTTATTTTCTAGTATCTTTAAATGGATTTCCTCAATGCACATATTCCATCTCTCGTGATGACGGTGAAATGCGCCCCGTGAGAGATGATGATACCAACTTACGAGACTTTCTGGTTATTAGCTTCTCCACTAGAGCAGGTGTTCCTACCTACCTTTCCTGTGGTGCTGAGTGGCGGCCCGGCTGATGGACAGGTAAACAACAACGAGTAAAGCCCACCACTGCGTCATGTTGATCCTCGCAAACACACAAGCAGAGATCCACGCTCACACAACAGCAGCACTCGCTCTCTTCTCGGCGTCTCTCAGGGGGAAACAATCACAGTCATAAATGATGACGGCGGACGAGGAGCCTCCGAACCGCATCTCACACACAATAGTTTCATGGATTATTCCTGCTGCTGCTTCCCCTGTTGCCTCCTCCCTTCATTCTCTCCCTCCTATTTTTTTATTCTTTTTTTTTTTTCTCACATGTGTGTGTGTGTGTTCTCTACTCAGGCCAAGCAGTCTGGGCTCTCATCTGGAAATCATCAGGATACGCCTGCCCTCTTGGCTGGACTTTTCTCACAGCTACTGGATGACTGCTCCACTCGCTGACTGGTGAGCGGCTCTCCAATTGACTGGATAACTGGTTGAGCGACCGACTAAATTGCCAGCTGATTGACTGAGCATAATGGCCTCCCATGAGCAAACCAGAAGCCAGGGATGGACGCTCTCATTAGAACAGAGCTGTGGCCTGATCAAGTATCCTTATCAGCGCCAAGGTAATTGCACTCTTTCTACTTGGGGTTTATTTTTTGCTATTCTGACCATCATTTCTGTTAGATAACACTTCACTCAGTTGGTTAATTGCGAGGAGCTGGGATGACAGCGAGAAACCAGCAGTCTGCAGATGAGGCAGGTTGTGTGTAAGCCAACAGCTTGGCCGGATTGTCTAGCACTTCAGTTATAAGTAAAACCAACCCTGAGTGCATCTGAAATACTGCTTATATTCTCTAACTTCATAGAAAAAAACTGTCTATAGCATCTTCAAACTGAAAATGAAAGGTGGTCTATACACTGTGATGAATTCAGGGCTGTTGAACCACTGAGGCTGATATTAAACTCACATATTGGGTAGTTTTTCCAGTGAATTTGAAAGAATCTGTCCCACGATGGATGTTTACAACAGACATTTTGGGTAATAATTTTAGCATTTGCCTGTTTTTGTTCCATTAAAGTCCCTCAACAGTCATCGATTAAACCCCTAAACGCTCATCTCTTTGTATCACAGTCGCGTATTTAGAAGCTTTTTCAATGAAAATAATCCATCCCTGCTTTAAAATGGCTTAAATGCAACTTCACAGTGTTGCCTTCACTAGAATGTGCACATCTATGAAGCACCTCTCTCCATCTACTCCTCCACTGTTCACTGCAGCTCAGCACACCAGCTCACTCTTCGACTCTCTAGACAATGGCAAGTTGTAATATTGGAGTAAAATGAATGAAATCAATAAAAATGGAAAGCATCTTTCTAACTATAACAGACCTTGATTGTCACACTTGTTTAAACCAGAAACTGATTCAGAAAAAGAATAATGATACAGAAAGAACCATTGTGCAAGTTGACAGGTTTGGTTCCTTCGGCTTGTTATGTATGAAACTGTCATTTGTCCACTGCAGTTTCAAGGTGGAAATGCTCAGCCATGGAGTTCCTATAGCATTAAAAAAACAAAACAAAACCACTGGGTTATTATCTGTTTCTTGGCCTGTTTTTTTTTTTTTTTCCTTTACTCAGACCAGACGTTGTCAGTCCATTTAATGGCCATTATTATCACACATCATCCTCGTAAATATGGGTCTCCTCCACCTTCTAGTAGGCTCAGCCGGCTGTTATTACCACATGTAATGGCATAATTTCGCACATACAAAGAAGAGCATCAGTCCACATTTAGAGATAAAAGGTGCTGGTGGTTGTGACGTTGGTAGATCACGTCAGTCAGGAGATCTCAGTTTGAGTCTTGACACTCTTTCATTTCCATGCACTGTTTCCCTTTTCAGTCAGCGTTGGGTTAACTTTAGTCACCAAGCTACTTGGTTGGGTTTAGCAATATACCCTGTTGCTACATTTACCACATTACTCCTGTTGGTTCCCAGCTGGGTAACTCCACTAGAGACTTTACATGCACCTATTCACACCAAAGGTTGCCAGTGTTATTTGGGTTGGTTTGTGCTTGCGATGATCAGAATGGATGATAAAGCTCCCACAGATTTGACTAGAAGTTCGAGGTCCCTACTCGCCCATTGTCAAGAACTCACTGATGATAGGCAGGTGGACACGAATGCTCGACACAGATAGGGTTCAGGCAAAAAGGCAGGTTTATTACCGTTCAGATCAGGGAGAGATATCCAGAAATCGAGAGGCAAAAAGGCAAAGTCCAAAAAACAGAAACAAGGTCGTAACAAACAGACTATGACTTAACTTTGAAATAACGCTTGTACGAGGACTGTGAAGTGCAACGAACTGGCGACGAGACAGGGAGACACACGGGGTAATATACACGAGGTAATGAGGGGAGATGGGAAACAGGTGCGGGGAGGCAATCAGGGAACAGGTGAGACGAGACAGGTGCAGGAAGTAAAGCTGAACAAAACAACTGGTGAAATGACTTCAAAATAAAACAGGAAAGACAAGACATAAAACGTACACACAAAACTGAAACTTGACGGACATGACACCCATATCTCTAAGAATGGTGCAACGAGAACAGACATTGATAAACTTTGCAGTGGGTGTTTCTTTCACTTCACTTGATGATTACAGTGCATCCTTAATGACCAATTTAATAACCCCATTCTGCTAAATCACTAATAATGGAGGGCATCTTTCTCCCCTCCTACACCGACTTTGTTTTTTTTACATATCTCGACGTTGTCCTCGCAGCTATACGCTTAAGTTTTAGGTTAATTAATCGCAAGTGAATTTCAAGAAACACAGTCGTGGCTTAAAGGGAGCATTTTGATTGCATCAAATACACAACGATGAAATACAAACTGAGACAGATGGAGACAAACAGCTAGTCGACAGCGATGCGAGGACCACTCGGAGCATCTTGATTAAAGGCTGTCAAGACTCTTTCTGCAGCCCTATATTCTTCCCTCCACAGCCCCTTCTGCTCTTTGTTGTCACAGAATATGTGCAATAAACACACATCTCCCCTCCTCATCCTCCTCCTCTGGTGCCAGAGTGTATAATAGCCTGTGTAGGTGCAGATGGCTCGCTTTCTTGGCTGATCCTCTAAGACTGCTCAAATAAAATCGAGATAATATTCCAGCGACGGTCTCGTGTCGGAGGAGTTAGAGAGAAAGGCACTCGTTGCCCAAATGGTGTAGATTAGAGAGGGACAATTAATTATTCAAATAGAGGCTGAAGATATCAAACTTAAATGTTTATTTAAACAACATAAAGCTGATAAGAGCCAACTTTTCCTTATCGACGCTTTGCTGCTTGAATAAACAATGGAGTCTGGTATCTGTCGTCTTGAATGGAAAGCCGCTAGAGTGCAAGCAGTTCCAGTCACACATGGCGCCCGTTTCGTTTCAGTGGTGATAAAAGTATTTTGTGGACATTTGGGGACCACATTTGGATACTTTTTGAGTGAATGTGGCCAACGACGCTGCTCCGTTCTGATGCTCCGAAAACGTGATCGCAAACAATTTTCAAACCCAAAACAACAACACACTCCTCTGCCTGCTTAATTAAGAAGCATAAAAGGCAACCTTGTAAATCAGCTGACATTCAGAGATTTGATTAATCTCCACGGTGCTGGATGACTTTCAGTTGTGTCATTCTGTTTTACTGCCGCCATATGTTTGGTTGAATATTTGCTCAGAGCAGATGGACACTTAAGGTATGCGACCCCTTTTCTATTATTGTTTTTTTGTTGTAATTCTGAAGAACACAACATACATTTACATAGATGAAGAGTCTGGAAGAACGCCTCGGTGGGCAGGCTGTAGCTCCTATCTGCATGTGATTCACATGAGTAACACATAAGGCGAAGGCAGATGGCATTCTGAAGGGCAAAACGGAAATCATAAACATTCCTCTGTTGCAGCTCGTGTCCTTTGTGGTAGCCTGCAGGTGCACAGATTTAACTACTGTAATACAAGAGAAAAAAAAAATGGTTCTGACCCCTGTGTGTGAGGTTGTAAACACACTGTAAAAGAAGCCCACCCCCTCTTGTATTCTTGGCGGTTGCAACCATGAGGGGGCAGTGTTACAACACAGATCCTGACTGATCCGCAGCCACCCAACTTATCCAAGATCCTGCAGTGATTGCTGCCGCTCCCCCGAACTCTTTCGGTGATGCCGCATGAATTCAGAAATAATTGAATTCTATTCAGATAAGGTCTGGCAATATGAATGCAGCCACTTAACAGAGATCAAAGGGTTGTTTGGGTTCAAACCAGGTGGGGACCCTCGAGACATCCTTTAGTTTAATTGCTTCTGTGCTGTAAATCACTGGAATGCCTCGAATATGCAAATTTCCATGAGGCCACTGTACATCTGAACTTGCGTGAGACTTGCTTAATAGTCAAATTGCTATCGCACAAAAAGTCTGCAGCTGCAGTTTTATCTTACAATGCTGTGAGTCGGGATAATAAGTAAACACCTGACCTGATTGCACAAATATAGAAAATGCTGAGATTTGGACTGCTGGGGTTTGATACATCTTTCCAGAGAAGAGCTCATGAGGAATAATAACTAAATGTTAAAGTCCCCCTCTGGTGAAAATTCTGTTTTATTTCCTCTGCTAAAATGTTCATATGGTGTTTTTTGTTATTTTTTAAAAATATGCTCAGAGACGCATCAAGAATGAAATAGTCAATGCTATGGTTGAGCATTCCCTCCTTGAAAATACAGTACATCTCAAAAACACAGATTCAAACTACTGGGGCTTAAAATGTAACAGGCCGAAGGAACCAAACCTGAACTTGTACTGTGAAGTTTTCTGTATCGTTGCTATTTTTAACCCTATACAGGACTCTCATGTTGCCATATGTGGAAGGTCTTTTGGGGTCCATTGGAAAGAAAGAACATGTGCAAAATATTTGTTGGTATTCATTATAGACTCTTGTACTATGTTACATACATTTTCTGATAAATTGACATATTTTTGTTTCCAAATGCTTAACAAATGTCCCTCTTTTTACACTTAAAAAAAAACCTTTAAAAATAAAAAACCAATACCTGTCATCTAAACCAAATGGCCTGGTGTCCAAAAGACCCCAAGTCCTGAACAGGGTTAAGAATAATTTACTGACGCAAAAATGTATGGCTGAATAACAACATCACAACTTGTGAATGGTAATTTTACAATGTTTTGAA